TTATTTGAGATATTTAAGAAAATTTCATAAATAAGCTAAAAGGATAATATAATAATTCTATTTTTAACAACTAATCAAAATGTTTAATTAAATTTTTTAGAAAGAAATATTTAATTAAAATTAGCTACCTAGTATATCAATTACCCAATATACATCGCATTTTTAAGACGTTTGTGAATCAAAGTGTTTTCATATAGTGATAAAGTTCACAATGTTTCATGTGAATCATAATGTATTTTCTTTATTTTATGAAATGTATTATAGTGTACATTTTCGTTATTTTCATTGCTTTACAAAGGGTATCACATTGTGCACCTTGTATGTATATCTAGGTATCACAGTTAATATCGTTTGTAAGTATCACAATATGTATCTTGTTTTCACATAATGTTCTTTGGAATAAGTTTTGTCAAATAAGATTCATCAGAGAGAGGAAAGAGGAGAGATGAGAGAAGATATTTATAAAATCCCTAAAATGTTCTTAATTAATATTTTAAGTTAAATTACCAAAATTATTAATTTCCTAATTTAACATTTGATTTGTGGTTGTAATTGGATCTCATGGTTACCACAAACAAAATAGTTCTCATTTGATTAAGCCTCAAACGAAAACATATTCATTTTACGAGAATGCAAGAACGCCCTTATCACATGTGATAATATGCATGAGGGGGCCCTGCGATGTGCAGACGACGTGTTCTACGACTTAGGCCGCGCCAAAGGTTGTCTGCGTCTATGATTTAGCATCACATGTGATGGTCTTGATGAATTATAGTATCATATTAACAACACCCTTATCATATGTGATAATACTTGTGAGGGGACTTAGTGGTGTAAGGGCGACTTGGCCCGCAACCCGTGTCTCTAATTTAGTATCACATGTGTATCATAGCTGATGAAATAATAGTGTCATATGTGATTGTCTATAGTAAAAGGTTATTCTCACGTTCTCGTAAAATAAAAGTGTTCTCATTTGAACCCTTCCTGTATATATGTATATATATATATCAAGCTACCTTTAACCAATTCAAATACCAGTAGCACATTCATATATGCTTAGATTCCTTGTCTTTCTTCTCAAGTGAATATACTATACACATGATATATATATATATATGAGTGATCATACGAAAACCGCCCTCATTTGTGTAAATCATGCAAACCACATTCATCTGTCGATTTTATTGTTTAATCTTATGAAATTTTTTCATGAAATTGTTTCATATAATACTTTTTTTGATGAAGTTGTTTCATATATGGTTGTGAAATTTTTCATATAATACTTAATGAAACTGTTTCATGTATTTCTCTAACATTAATGAAACTGTTTCATGTATTTCTCTAAAATTAAAATTATGAAGATGATGATATCTATGATTAACACCCTCCACAATATAAATGATTAATCAACCTCTCATAATTATAAAAAAATGAACAAAATGAAAAATTATGATTGGTTGAATGCGATTTGCACGGTTTGTACAAATTGAGCGATTTGCATTTGATCGCTCCCCTGTATATCTATACATACATACGTATTTGGTGGTTAGGAGTTCAGACAACAACCATAAAGAACTTACATGATGGATCACGTGTTGTGTATTTTGTAGGCTGCTGATAGTTTTTGTCAAAAAGGCGACCAAACTATGTTGACTAACTTCACTTGATGTTAATTAATTCTTGAATATTCCATTTAACTCGCTTTAGATGAAAAAGATTAAACCAAACCATCGCCATCATATCATATTCGAAAGAGAGATGTTGATAAAATAATGGTAATGCATTAAAACATGTTGTCTAAGTGACTTAATTCAAGAGCTTAATTAACTGTAAAAATTACTCATAGATGGTAAGCATCCAGTTACTTGCCATGCATGGATCACTCGCATCCCAGCAGATATGAAGTTGTTAACAGTAGCCATTTGTTCCATCGCTACCTAATTACTCAATCTGACTGCACTTTCTTGTTTGAAGAAGACTAATTCATTTGTCGCTGAAACGTAGTTTTCTTCAGGATGGAAAAAGTATTCAGAAAATAACTCAAATTCACATGTGATCAACATGCAAAATGAGCGACGTAAGCGTTTCAATCGTATTGTGTGCAAATGGACTAAAAGGAACATGTATATATATATATATATGTATATGTATATGTATATGTATATGTATATGTATATGTATATGTATATGTATATGTGTTCATCAGAGTCTTGTTATTACTGAGTATGTCCTCTCATGATCATGTGTGGATCACATTAGATATGACGAGTTGGGTACTTACTGTACCTGTGTATATGTGTAGTACGTGTAGTCATGAGCATACACCAGTCGTTAAAACCTCCATTAAACCATATGAACTAAGATCGAACGTTCGTTACATGTTTCCTTTCTTGTCATCTTTATCAAAACCCATGTCCCCCTGTGATCAAAAAAGATAAAATTTATGTAAAAAAGAAGAAAACTTCAAAAGTTGTAGAAAATAATAGAACCATGAGTGCTCACTTTTTCCTAAAGCAGCTTTATTCCAGATTCCTCTTCATTTCAGTAAAAAGGAAGGAACATCATCAACAAGATTTTCGCAAAAAGAGAAAGTGTTATATCTTTTGAATGAGTTCACATCGATCGATCATATCCAAGTTTATCTTGCTGAACACCATAGCATTGAACCATATGAACTAAGATCGATCATAGTTAATCTTGCTGAACACCATAGGATTGATTGTAGTTTTTTGCTGCAGATCATATCCAAGTTTATCTCAGCAGCTTAAACTAGTTGCAAATTGCAAAGGTGGGGACATATTGGGATATGCATGCCTTCATTTGTTTAAATATGCATAAAATTAAGGTTTTCAAATGTTCAATATCCAACATAACCATGGCATATATATATATATATATATATATGATCTTCTTGATGACAACACTATATATAATCCAAAAAGTATTGAAGTTTATATGTAATGGAGTTTTAGAATTATAGTTAAAGGAGTTCAATTAGTTGTTTTAAATTTATATTAAAATCAGTTCCTCTTAATTAGTGTTCATTATAAGAGTTAAGTGGAACTTCGTACCTTATGTCAATTGACTCGGTTAATAGGGATGAATTGACATTATCTTTTTCCACCTGGCATAAAATTGCTAATGAGAATTCTCGTCAAGTTCACTAGTTTGAGTCCTACAAGACCACTATGGATTATCCTGATTATTCTCCAGGATCTTTGGAATTCATCGAGGTGCACGTAAACTGGACCAAACATGAGACACCCACGATTAAAAAGAACATCCTAATGACGATTTGATTAATGTTGTACTTGATGGAAGTTTTGACCAGCAAAATGGGAAAAAAGGGGTTAGTGTTCTACAGTCAAGAAATTAAAGGCATGTTGACCCAACTTTATGATTTAGAAGAAGATCACGACAAGAGATCCCATAAATATGCCTAAGCTTCGCAAAGTAGGAATAGGAAAAGAATAAGGGTGCGTTTGGTTTGCAGGAATGTTTTTGAGGGATTTGGATTCCTAATAGGGATTTGGATTCCATGGGATTTGGATTGGATTGGATTTGAAATCCATTCCTTTGTTTGGTTTGTAGGATTTGTAGTATTGAGAACTACAGAAATCGAAAATTATCGAGGATTCCTCAATCCAGCAAATTATCGAGAACTACAGAAATCGAAAAGGGGAAAGGGATTCACCTGTTGACCGACGGAGGCGGCGACGGAGGCGGCGACGGAGACGAAGGCGACGGCGACGGAGACGGAGGGAGACGAACGGCGACGAAGGGAGACGAACGGCGACGAACGGAGACGAACGGCGACGAACGGAGACGAACGGAGACGAAGGGCGACGAAGGGCGACGGAGACGGTGGGCGACGAAGGGCGACGGAGACGGTGGGCGACGGAGACGGTGAGCGACGACCACCTACGGAGGCGGCGACGGAGAGGAAGGGCGACGGCGACGGTGACGG